CAAAGAGTAAGTGCCCAAACATAGTCTTTCATTCTATATTCTTCTTTATTCCATAATTAGAATCTACCCAGTAATGCCATCATTCAAATATCTGACCAGTTAGGTCAACTCAGCATTTTCCAAACTCTTACTTAATTTAGTTCTACAAGTGAATCTAAGACAAAACACACAAGGCATAGCTTGCTGATATCTGATGCCTAAAACAAACTGAAGTTATGAATCTTATGCAACTTGGCATGTGTTCCATCTCACACAAGAACTAAAAGATGAATAGTACCTACAGCACTGAGAGTCACTCCACCACAGCTGATACAGTATCTCCCAGACTTCTAGTTTCTAAAATTCTGGGGGAAGTGGGACAATTTGAACAGTAATAGTCTACACGGTAGTAATATTACCTCTTGGCCATTGGCCCAATACTAGTCCTTTTTGTTTTTTAGTATACAAAATATGCTGAAAACATTTCCTTAAACACATTTCAATTAATGTAATTAAACAGAAGGCAACAATTTCCTTCTATAAGAGTTATTTAGCTATGAAAAACTTGCCATATATTTGTTAAATTAATTTACGGAATATTTTTAGGGTCAATACAGATATTTAATTTAGAGCCTATCCTAAACATGTGTAAAAAGAACTACAAACATGATCACATTCGGTTTTTTTTTTTTAAACTGGAAATTACCATTTTTATCCCTATAGTAATTTTATAAATATATCACTTGCTTTTATCCAAATTAAGGATAAATTTCAAAAATCCACTGTGAAATTTACATTCTCACTAAGCACAAAAATACACAAATATTAGTTCTAATCAGAAATTTAAGCTAAGTGAAAATTTTTACTCTGAAATAAGTAGACCTGGGATATAGAAGTAAAAGTTTTGATCGAAGCAGATCACAAATATATTCTGTTTTCATGTAAAAATAATTTTTTTAAAGAAATAATGTTTAACAGTCTTTTAATCCCATCTTTTCAAACACATATTTTTCTTTTAAAATAAAATACTTTCAGATAAACATTTCATTTAAAATCTGATTTTACAAAAAAGAAATAAAATTAATTATTCTTAGATGTATTTGAGCCAGGTAGTTGCTGCTTCCAAATGTTATGAGCTACAAATCGATTTATGACACTATGGTAAGTAACCTTTGGCTTCCAACGTAATAACTCGAAATTCAATTCACACTGCCTACCAAAGAAGTCTGATGTATATTTGTAAATTTAAAATTTTACATCTTTTAAAAAGAAAAAAATCCAAACAGATAAGTATGAATTATTTTAAAAATCAGTGATAAGCCATTTTTTATCACACCAAAGATCTATAAAATTATAATAAAGTCTCTTAATAGTATTTTTGAAAATACTATCAAAAACTTCAAAATCTTATATATATTAAGTACAACCAATATATTTTTAGAAAGAAAACATCTTCAAAGGCTGAAAAGGAAATATGCTATTTTTAAGAGCAATGATGTTTGAGTCAATCAGACATGTTTTCAATCTGAAATCTGCCACTTCCAAGCTTATGCATATTTCTTAACTTCTCTAAAACTCTTTCCTCAGATTTAAAATGGGGAGCAATGTCAGTAGCTACCTTAGAGGGCTTTCTGAGGAATAATCAGATAATGCACATAAGAGATTGCTGCAGTATCTGACAAAGTAACTAATAGATATTAGCTAGACTGAGCAGTAACTTCCTTAGGGGTCAAGTACCCAACAAGCTATTTTCTTAAATAAAATGTAATCATTATATACAGAATTATTTATCTTAAGAATTAAAAAAAAAAATGGTGTGGAAGGGGGTTGGAGACATTCCGTACAACAAAACACCCCTATATTGCAATAATGATACCTTTATTGTATTTTGGCAATCACTTTCTCTCTATTGTAACACTGTACTATATCATTTCCAAAATACAATTCAGAAGATCTAAACTGAATTTTTTTTTTGTCACAAATCTTAGAGAAAATAATTACCTCATTGGCCTAAATAAATGAAAAAGGCACAGAAAAACTGCTCACAAATAAAACCACAGTCATTTACATATTATGTACCATAGTAAAGATGGTTATTTGGCAATTTCAAGCAATTTATCTGGTATCTAATATTGTCACACTGTTCTTATTTCAAATCTCAAATACATTAACCTCTATTATTTATATATAGCCTTGTGTGACAACCTATCAGTCATATCTTTATTGGAATGATCAAGAAATACTAAATTTTAAAAGAAAAATTCAGCTATAGATTATGCTCCAAAGTATTTCACAAATGCTCATTTTCCATTTAAAATATTTCAGGTACCAACTTAAAGATACCCAAATCTTAAAAAAAAAAAAAAAAAAAAAAAAAAAAAAAAAAAAAAAAAAAAAAAAAAAAAAAAAAAATTAAAAAAAAAAGATACCCAAATCTTAGTCCATCAGTATTATTTTGATTGTCACTAGGAACCATGTGAATGTTTTCTCTGATTTTTAATCATACTAACCTGAGTCAACAGGGCTTCTCAATGGACTCTATTTTAAATGACAGAGCACACACATAGGAGACAGAAAAATTAGGTATGGCCCCCTAAGATTATTTACTGAATATGTGATCTTCAGCAAGTCCCTTAACTTCTCCATGCCACGTCTCCTCTTCTAAAAGATAAGGATCCTGCCCCTCTCCTTTGTCTGACTCACAGGACCAGGTAAATTATATAAGAGAAACATGAAAGCTTTTACAAGGGCATATGTTAGATACATATAATATCAACACACAGAGACTTGTTATAGTATTGGATTTGGTTAGGATGACCAGTCTATTAAAAGTGTAATTTAAGAAAAAGTTATTCTTGAGAGTATCAGGGGGAAAAAATTATAACATCTTTACCATATCCTTTGAATAAGATCTGAAAGCAGTTTTAAAAAATATATTGCTATCTATCCTATTACTATGTAAGAAAAAATACACTGGACAATGCTCATTCGCCTTCCCTGTGTTTTTTTCTTTTTTTAATGGCTGTAATTCTGTTTCACCTGAATGTATTTTTGTAATTTTATTAACTTATACCTGCTCTGTTCCAAGCTTATTCTGGCAAGTTATTTAAAACTTCTCTGAAAGTAGTCACAGGTGATCTTTTTTTCTACTACAGGTTTGCACTTATCTTAAATTCTAGGTTTTTCTACCTTATGCTTCATGGAAAGTAGGTACAATAAAGTGTTAATTTTTAAAAATGAAGAAAAAATATTCAAAACTAAGTCACTAAAAGCAAATGTTCCTTCACTTTCCTGTATCTTCAGCAAATACTATGCATGCACTCCAAAAGGATATCAGACCACAAATCAACAGAAAAATCCATTCACTTACACTACATACTCTTATGAAGTTAAAAGATAAACCAGGATTGATTTCTGAAGAAGGCATATCTGAAGGGTGATTATGAAAAAATGAAGGGTGATTTTGAAGTAAGGACAAGGAGAGAACAGAATATGATAAACATTTTTGAAACACTTTATGATTTACACAGTCAGTGAAATACTATCATCTCTAGGTAACTCACTAAGTGAGAAGAAGCCTGACAGGTGACTAGTCAGGTATACAGAAAGATTTGGAAGCCCTAATATAGATGATTGTTGGTTAAAGTCACAGGAGTAGAAATTTTGAAGCAAAAGAGGGTCTAGATAATAGTCACTGAAAGATCAAAAGACAGAATGAGGGAAAATGAAATGAGAATGATTTGAAAAATACAAATAGAATCGAAACATTAGAGGAGTGTTCAGTTTCAAGGAGAATAGGAGTAGTCAAAAATCATAGAAGAAAAAAACATGAAGGCTGGGTTTGACTAGTGAGTCTATAACAAATGTAATGGGGTGACTTTAATAGCAACGATGGGTGAGTTAGCAACGATTAAGGTAAAACAACAGTCCAAAAAAAAAAAAAAAAGTGTATTCTACCCATTTAAAATGTTCACTCAGGAAAACTTGGGGAAAATTATAATAACACTAAAGGGAGACCTGAGTGTGTTTAAAGGCAGAAAGGAGACTTCATTAGCTCTAAATAATTAAACAAAGCTTGTGTGTAACAGCTGAGAGAGTCCGACTGATAAACAGGTATGTTTCAGACCTAAGTTAGGCACTTTGAGGGAAAGGGAACCTGACTTCTGTCTCTAGGGAACAGAAAGAAATTAATCTCAAGCCACTTATTTATTTATTTATTTTTTTGGTATCACAGTTGGTCCCTACCCTCAGTGGTATATATTTACAAGGTAATTAGAACTTGGTAAGTGAAAAGGCACAAAGCCCAAACAGAAAATGGTATTGAAAATATAAGATGACAAAATGCAAAAGTCAATAATTTCCACTTGAAAACAATTTTAAATAAAATTCAAACAAAAAGTTGAAAATTTAAAAACGTTAACTGCTAGAGGCTTGATATCCATGTGATGTGCAAAGTGATTAAATTTTTAAAAAGCATAATATAGGTTTAATTTTTATATAGCCACCATCATTTAATAAGATTTCTTGGAGAATTTCTACCAAAGACACAATTTCCTCCTTGAAAACAGGCATAAAATGGGTAACATTGGGTGACCTGGGTACCAAAGAGTTGTGAAAAGTGTCTCCACAACTTGTTAGTCTGAAAAGCAACATTAAAAAAAAGTGGAGCATCAAAACACTTTATTTCAAAATCACTTGATGCCTGATCCTGTATGTAACTGGAACCATATTCACATTCTATAAGTTTCTGAATTTCAATTTCCCGTTTTATTTATTTTTATGAGCAACTTACTTTATTTTGAATCTGTACTTTATTTGACATTTATTTAAGCTGTATAAAAGCCATGCACAGTTTATTTACAATATTATACATTAACGATGTTTGAAGACTACACAAAAATTTCACAAAACTTACTTAGATGGAAAGACATGTGAAACAGGGAGCTTTCAAAAATTTTAGATTCAGAATTTTGCAAAGATTATTTTGGTTTCTAGTGTTCTGCAAGCACTGGATTGAAATAAGACTGACAAAAACGTGCAAATGAGTAGAATTTCAACAAATGAAAAACTACAAATGTTTAGCTAAAAGCTAAAATACCTTGAAATCCTACTATGTAGCAATGGGAATTTATAAAACAGAAAAAAAAAGGTTATTTTTAAAAAGTCTTTCATGAATAACAGGCTCTCAGTAATATTCTATAAAAACATTCAGAAATAAAGTTTCTCAAATTATGTCCATCATCAAAGTTAGGTTTTCAGTAGTGGCCGAAGCTGTGAATTGTAAATTATTTACTGTCCTACATGGGAAGTCTCAATTTCCCCCGCTAGGGAGAGGGGGAGAAGAAAATCAATTGGCAAATTTAGATTCAAGTAAAAGATCCTGGTACAGACAACATGAACACAGAGTGGATCGCTGCAGTAATGTTCGAGTCCACATACTTTTACTTGTACCCCTAAAATGGAAGGTGTAAACTTTAGTTTTCTTCAATTTAAGATCTCCTATCAGGAAGTAAGTACCTCATTCTTCAGAGTTCTAGAAAATATCGATAGGGATTTCTTCTTCTCCACTGGCATACCATTCAATTTTTACTGTTGTGGCTGAAGTACATTTAGATACTCAGACTGCCCCAACTGATAAGTTGTGTTCCTTCCACAATCAACATACTGGTATCTTTCCTGGGATATCTGTTCAGAGTGTCCAAAGTATGTTGTTGTCACAGTAACTCTAAAAAAGAAAAATTGGGAGACACAACAAAAAAAAAAAACTCAAACAGGGAGACACATTATTATTTACATAGAAGTTTTCTGAACTGAGAATACTTTCATATAGCAAAATTTTCTCCAGGGAGAGACTGATTAATGATAATATTGTGGACATGGGCCACTCAGGGAATATTTGTCCAACAGATAGCATAAATGCTGATTTAGCAAGCCTACTCCAATAATTATACACAAGAAATACCATGTTTTCAGAACATTTATCATTACTTAAAAATACGTAAGTTCATTTCACTTTTAAAAACAAAATTCTCTCATCACAGGAAAATTCTTTCATTCTTTCATCACATTTTGCGCCATTAGCTGATGGTCCAAAAACCAAACCTATAACCTACAATGTCTTAATGGCCCAGAATAACACCCAATTTGCACATTAGTAACAGTACTTATTACTGTGAAGGACTATTTACCATAGATAACAGAACAATGGATGCTGAGCTCTGTCCTCTTTTTCATCCCAACACCTGCCATCTTCCTGTGTTCTTGCAAGGTCTAGATTCACTCTTCAGCAGCCATGTGATCCTTCACTACTTCTCCGAGCTCCAATTTCCTCATTCTTAAAGTTGGATAATATTTACTCATCTCATCGCACTCTTTTAAGGCTTCAAACCCGACTGAACTGATACTTATAAAGGTGTTGTGTATGCTATAAGCCAAAGTTATAAATCTAAAGTTTAAAAAAGAAATATTTCTTTCAAAAAAAATTCATACTTACTGCATCATGAGTACGATATTATGTACTTTGATTGATATCAGTGTACAAAAATCACTGTTAAAAAGAAAAAAACAATGTGAGTAAACGTGGCTATGATATTATAATTTAAAATCACTTAATTATGATTCCTTTCCCTATGTTAAAACTAAAAGAGATATGATACAGAAGACATAAGTAAGCATTTATTGATGGAACATTTTCTGCACCTAATAATGATAAAGATTTTCATGACTTTTTATTCTAAAAACAGACATGTTTTACTACAGCAATTGTAGAGTTGTTGCACACTGGCTACAAATTACTGCTACTTTTTATTCATCTTTGAAATTGTAGTAAACAGTTTGTTAGAAATTCTGTATCAGCCTGATACTATAAAAGATGATAAAAAATCTTTTTTTTTTTTTTTTACTTAAGAGTTAATAATCACTTAGACCCAATGTAAAAGCTTTAGAAATTCAATAAGAGAACATTACACAATACTAGCATTTTTAGTTCTGCGATACTAAAGTCAACAAATACTAAAATGTGTGAGACTATGGTTCTTATAGTAAATAAAGTGACATGGTGTGCTGAATGGGAAAATTATGCAGCCAAGAATTCTTTATCCAGCAAGGCTGTCATTCAGAATACAAGGAGAAAAAAAGAGTTTCCCAGACAAACAAAAGTAAAGAAGTTTGTGACTACTAAACCAGCCGTGCAAAGAAGAGGGACTGGGGGCAAGGCAGTGAAGAATAAAAAGGACCAGAGAACATCACCAGAAACACCAACTCTACAGGTAACACAATGGCACTAAATTTATGTTTCAATAATCACTCTGAATGTAAATGGTCTAAATGCTCCAATCAAAAGACATAGGGTATCAGAACGGGTATAAAAAAACAAACAACCCACACACAAAAACAAGACCCATCTACATGCTGCCTACACAAGACTCATTTTAGACCTAAGACACCTGTAGATTGAAAGTGAGGGGATGGAGAGTAGTGTCAATCGGTTAGCGTCGACTTCAACCAGATCGCGATCTGCATGGTCGGGAGTTGAGCCCCTTTCGCGTCAGGCTATGGGCTGATGGCTCAGAGCCTGGCCTACATTCTGCAATCTCTCTGCCCTCCCAGATTCATGTATATGTGTCTGTCCCAAAATAAATGGCGTTGAAAAAAAAATTTAAAAAAAAAAAAAAAAAGAAAGTGAGGGGATGGAGGGGCGCCTGGGTGGCTCAGTCGGTTAAGCGTCCGACTTTGGCTCAGGTCACGATCTCACGGTCCGTGAGTTGAGGCCACACCAGTGTCAGGCTCCTAGGCTGATGGCTCTCAGGAGCCTGGGCCACCTTCTGTGTCTCCCTCTCCTTGTCCCTCCCCATTCATTTCCTTCTGTCTGTCTCAAAAATAAATAAACGTTAAAAAAAATTAAAAAAAAAAAAAGTGAGGGGATGGAGAACTATCTGCCATGCTAATGGACATCAAAAGAAAGCCAGAGTAGCCATACTTATATCAGACAAACAAGATTTTAAAACAAAGACTATAACAAAAGATGAAGAAGGCATTCTATCATAATTCAGAGGTCTATCCATCAAGAAGATCTAACGACTGTAAATATTTATGCCCCCAACCTGAAACACCCAAATATATAAATCAATAATGATAAACGTGAAGAAACCTACTGATAATAAAACCATAATAATAAAAGTTTAATACTCCGCTTACAGCAAATCAACAAGGAAACAATGTCTTTGATAAAATGGACAGGATGAACTTAACAAATATATTCAGAATATTTCATCTTAAAGCAACAGAATAGACATTCTTCTCGAGTGCTCATGGAACATTCTCCAGAATAGATCATATACCGTGTCACAAATCAGTCAGGTCCAAAAAGATCAAGACCATGCCATGCATATTTTCAGATCACAACACTTTGAAACTTGAAGTCAACCACAAGAAAAAATTTAGAAAGTCCTCAAATACGTGGTGGTTAAAGAACATCCTACCAAAGAATGAATGCATTAACCATAAAATTAAAGAAGAAATAAAAAAATACAAGGAAGCAAATGAAAATGAAAACATGACAGACCAGAACCTTTGGGATGCAGCAAAGGCAGTCCTAAGAGGGAAGTATATTGCAATAAAGAATTAACAGGTGCCTGAGTGGCTCAGTCGGTTAAGCATCTGACTTCGGCTCAGGTCACGATCTCATGGTTTGTGAGTTTGAGCCCCGTGTTGGGCTCCGTGCTGATAGCTCAAAGCCTGGAGCCTGCTTCAGATTCTGTGTCTCCCCCTCTCTCTGTCCCTCCCATGCTCATGCTCTGTCTCTCAATAATAAATAAACGTTAAAAAAATTAAAACAAAAAAGGGTCTACTTCAAGAAGAAAAGTCTCCAAATACACAACCTAACCTTACACCTAGAGGAGCTAGAGAAGAACCAGCAAATAAGGCCTAAAGCTAGCACAAGAAAGGACATAATACAGAAAAAAACAATATAGAAACAGCAACAAAAAACGTGTAACAGATCAATGAAACTAAATTAATGGTTCTTTGAAAGAATAAACAAAATTGATAACCCCCTAGCTGGACTTATCAAAAAGAAAAGAGAGGACCCAAATAGAAAAAAATCACAAATGCAAGAGGAGAAATTACAACCAATACCAGAGAAATACAAACAATTATAAGAGAATACTACATAAAATTATATGCCAACAAACTGGGCAATCTAGAAGAAATGGACAAATTCCTAAAAATTCACAAACTACCAAAACTGAAACAGGAAGAAATAGGAAATTTGAAGAGATGCGTAATCAGCAAAGAAAATGAATCAGTTATCAAAAATTTCCCAATAGGGGCGCCTTGGTAGCTCAGTCGGTTAAGCATCAGACTTTGGCACAGGTCATGATCTCATAGCTCTCTGTGCTGACAGTTCAGAACCTGGAGCTTGCTTCAGATTCTGTGTCTCCCTCTCTCTGCCCCTCCCCCACTGACACTGTCTCTCCCTCTCTCTCAAAAATAAAAAAACAGGGGCGCCTGGGTGGCGCAGTCGGTTAAGCGTCCGACTTCAGCCAGGTCACGATCTCACAGTCCGTGAGTTCGAGCCCCGCGTCAGGCTCTGGGCTGATGGCTCAGAGCCTG